GGAATTTTATATAATATGTGGATTTGGCTGAGATACCCTGAACCCACTGATCGATTTTAATATTACAGAGACAATAAGATATTGTGGACCTCCTGGCACGATGCAGTAGATAATACCATTCATGAAGTTTTCCTGCAAAAAGATTGAGCCTAAATTTAATCAAGCAATCCCCTGCTGATGATTAATGCAGAGGACAGAGAAGGATGATACAGGGCAAATAAAAAGATGGCATACAACACCAGCAGGCATAAGCAGCAAAATCCCCAATATTGGAAAACGAATGATAACTAATTAATTAAATGAGAAATTCATGGCAGATTTCAAGACTTAGATGTATCAACTGTGATACATGAATCTTATTTTGAATCATGATTTAAACATAATTTAGAAAGAGACTTATGTGACAGGAATACTTTAAAACACTGACTAGAAATGAGATGATAGTAAGGAATTACTTTATTTGGGGGATTATAATTTTTTAAAAAAGCTCATTTCTCTGAGATACATACCGAAGTGTTTACAGGCCTTTAAAGCTAATCAGGGAACTTCTAATATCTGGCTGGCTAGATTAGAGAATCGTCGTGGGGCCACGCCCCCGTTCCCCCCTGTCTGAGCAGGAACATCTGTACTTCGTGTCTGTCCCCGTCCTACCACTGTATTGAGGGGTGGACTGGAAGGCAATGCCAGGTCTCTCTCATCATGCAGACCAACAGATCAAGAGGAGCTGCACCCCGGGAGCTGAACTAAAAGGACTATATTCAGAACGCCTGATCTGCACCTGGATCTGAGGCAGATGTGAGACTCCGGACTTGGAGCTACACCCTAACGGGATGCCACCTCCGAGGACTCTGCGGGAGGGTGAATGCATTTCACACGTGGGAGAGTAGGAAAACTCCCTTCTCCTGTGTGCTTCTCTTCCCCTTTCACACTACTCGCACACTCATAACACTTCTGACTCCAGATGTGTGGGTTCTTCCCCCCACACACACCAGCAGTCCTCTGGGACACCAGCGGGGGTCCTACAATGCAACTCAATTCGGACACCGACGGGTGGCGGCACAGACCCCACAGATGGAGGACTCAGCCTCCCAAGACTTCACCTCGCTTCACATGCCGGTGGGCGGTAACAGGCCCCCGGGTTGTCCACAACTTCCGTCTGACTTAGCTGAAAATTGGAGATTCCCATGGCCCCCCACCCAGGTTCAGGTACTTCCTAGAACAGCTCACAGAACTCAGGAGAACACATATGTTTACCAGTTGATAATAGAATATAAAGGATGTCGTAAAGGGTAGTGACGGACAGCCAAAGAAATGCATATGGTGAGGTCCGGGTGGGTTCCAAGCAAAGGGGCTTCTGTCCCCGTGTCATTGTGGTATGATATCTCCCAGCACGTGGTTGTCCCCGACGCTCTCTAAACCCCATACTTCGGGGGGTTTTACTGAGCCTTAATTGTGCAGGCATGGTTGATCACTAACTCCATTTCCGGCTCCTCTCCCCTCTCTGGAGAATGGAAGCGTGGGACTGAACATTCCAAGCTTCAGATCATGGTTTGGTCCCATCTGGGAGCCCCCCAAGAGTTACCGCATTAAAAAAAAAAGTACAATTGCCAAGAAATCCCGAGCGATTTGGGACTTCTGCCTCAGGAACCAGAGCCGAAGACCGAACATTAAAGCAACAGATGCTCCCAGTGCTCTTAATGCTTAGAAAATCACAGGAGTTTTAGGAACTGCAGTCAAAGATTGACGTTAAAGATTCTCCCAGCATCCCTATTTAAAACAGTTTGAGGAGCTTTGCGCCAAGAACCGAGGATGGAGATAAAATTATAATGGGGGGGGGGCTGGAAACAGCAAAAATACTTCCCAAAATGGAAAAGGTTAAATACATTAACCCTTAATAGTATTCGAGAATGTTCTTAATATGTTAAAGCAAACCATAGCAAGATACAAAAACATATAAAAAGTATAATGTCAAATGATTTGTTCTATACTGTGCTCCTAAGAATAAAAATCATAAAGATATGCAGGAAAAGAATGACATATACACTTCAAAATGCTAATATTATGTTCAGTGAGATGATCAATTTTTATACCAAACGCCTTTTATGTAGTTTATTAAAGTTCTACAGTATTTTTATAATCAGAAAAGATATTTTTAAAAGTAGCACTCCAAGCATAATAAAGCATGACATTTCTCTAGCCATAAAACACTACCTTCCCGCAGCTGTCTCGTGCTGTGGGCTGGGTGTTATTTCTCTCCCCTGTGCGCCCCTCGCCCTTTGCCTTCTGTGGTTATTAAAACATTCTCTTCACATCATATCATCTCTGCACCTACCCTCTGGCACCTCTCTCTGTCCACTGGCTTTGTTCAACAACAACCTTTGAGACTGAAAGTTTTCCCAAAAGAAGAGCTCTGTTGAGCTATCTGTGGGCCAGAATACAAAGGAGCAGGTGGTGGGACATACATTCTAAACCACCAGCAGCAGCAGGGCTGGATGGAGATGAACACGCCCTCGGCCCTGCGGTTGCCAGGGTTCTTTCATACAGTGTGCTTGGAGGAGAAAGATTCAAGTGGCTGTGAAAAGATTTACACTGACTATAGATGAGGCGGTGGGGAAAGGTGAATTAAACCAAGTTCCGGGATAGGCGCGTAGTCTGCAAGGAAGAAGTACCGGGTGCTTCTGTGTTGGTTGTGGGCCAGTCTGGGAAGTTCATGTGTGAGCAGGGCACGGTGGCAGCTGGTGGGTAGCCATTCTTTCCACACAGCTGCTCGGAAGTTGATTCAGTGTCCACACACACTCGGGAATGCTGGCGGCGTTTTGTTGGTTTCAGCCATTTGCTGGTGAACTCTTGATTCTTCCTCCCACACACCGACCTGCTGCAATTTAAGTTATGGCACCTCAGAATTTTTCTCTTGTTGGGTTAAAAATGCATGGAAGGTAAGGATTGTGCTTTAAATGCTTACTGCTTCCTGGAATAAATAGCACAGTGTCTTTGCACAAAGTAGATGTTTTATTAATTCCAGCCATGCCCTTGGCAGTTTACATTTAATTATTTTATCTTCTTCTTGGGTATTGTTGGCTTCAGCTTTTGTTCACAATGTGGTCAGTGAAATTCCTTTCATAATTTCCTCTTCGTGGTTCCAAGTTCCCTGCAAGTCTTTCCCCTCTGGGATCTCACCCCACCTGATCGCTGTCTGGAGCAGCTCTGCCCGGTAAAGAGCGTGCCTCTGCTGGAAGTGTTACAGAACAGACAAGGGGGGCCTGAGACAATATACTATTATTGAAAGAAGGCCCCGGGTCCGTTATGTCCGCTGCCCTAGGAAAGACGTCTCTCAATGCCAGAGATTCGTGAAAAGGAAAGGAAATGTTTATTTAATGCTATACAGACTTAAAGTAGTGACCTAATGTCTTCATCAAAAATCCCAAAGTCCCTTAAAACACCCACAAACACACACAGTCCTTCCTTCCTTCCCCCTTTGCCCAGTCCAGAGTACCGTAACTCAGGAAAGGAAAACGAAGTCCATGGCTCAGACAGTCCTCTGGTTCTTAGTTAGTCCTCTATCTCGACTGGGAGACCTCCCTGGGTTCCCGGCACCCTCGGCTGAGTCGCCAGGATCTCTGCTAAAACCAGGTGGTGGTTCCCCTTCTAAAGCTGCAGGGATCCCCACTCTGTCCAGGCCTCATGGTTCTCCCTCTCAGGGCTGCGGGAAGGGGAGAGTCCTCACTCTGCCAAAGCCGCGTGGTTCTCTCTCCTATGGCTGCGGGAAGGGAGAGTCCTCACTCCGTCAAAGCCACGTGGTTCTCTCCCTCTCAAGGCTGCACATGGTTCTTTTTTCAATGGCTGTGATCCTCTCTGCACCTCCACAGCCACATGGTTCTCTCCCCTAAAGCACCACGGTTCTCTCTCCTAAAGCAGCACGGTTCTCTCCTAATGGCCGCCAAGTCTGGGTTTTTAATCCCCGCGGCCAATCTTCCTCTACAGCCTCATTTCCGACTCCTCCCACACTCGGCTTCACATGCCAGAACTCGTATCCTTCCAGCTTTACTGGGCTGCCATCTTGAGTCTGGGCAGGTGTGGCCCCATGTCCTGGAGCCAATCTTTTCCGAGCTCCCATGCAGGCGCTGTAGCTTGGGGGATCTGCCCCCAGTCACGTGTTGGTGGGGAAGTTACTTCCATTCCCCTGGCTCAGAGATGATCACAGCTATTTAACATATCTAAGCAACCAGCCAAAGGCTATAGATATGTTAAATGACCACGCTCAGAGGGTAGCTGCAAGGCTATTGCTATGCAAAACAGCTCTCAATGGCCTTGCTCCATTTGTCCCTTCCCCCAACCCACACCCTGGGTGGGGGGATGGAGACATCTTAAAATCTCCTGGACACCTTAAGTTCTGGACCCCATTTCAAATGCCCATTTGGGGCTCCCCCTCTTGGCTGCACTCTGTAACAGAAGCGGAAACCCAAGGCTTCGTTGATGGAGTTTGCTTTCCCTCGGATTTTAGAATTTAAAACTTGGTTGCTTAGCTGATAGCTTTAAATTTCCCATGACCCTTACCTTCTATTTCCTAGAGTTTCAAATCTAATTCTGGCGATGAGTCAAATTGTGAAACACGGATAATTATCTTGGCCTTCTCCCAGCCTTGATTACTAATCAGTCTCGTCATACCCAGGACTCAAGTGCAAGCCCCAAGTGCTTTCCACCGGCCAAAGCAAAATCTTGGTGAAAACTGGAATTGAGGCATCGACACAGAAAGACTTCAGCTTGCAGTGAAGAGCCCTTCACCTTTAAGTTACTCAGATTTCATTAAGGGTCCTCTAAACACCGATGCCTTTAGAACTCAGGTTGAAGTTATAACATAAAGTAACTGAGAAGTGGAGTTTGGGGTGGACAGGTGACGCCGCTCTGTGCCCACACGATACACCATGTGACTTCACATCATCTGCAGGCAAATATTTTAACTTCGAGTGGACAAATCACAGTGACTTACAATTATACGACTATTCAACTTTATTAAGAACATGATAAAACAGTATATTTAACAAAGGTGTGTTTATTTTTCACATAATGTTTATTGCATTTTTCTTGCCTCATTTTGATCTAAAGCCAGGCCAATGTCTTCCTCTAGGTACTTTAGTTGAAGTGTGCGTTCTTTAGATACGGAATTCTTTTGGACAGCATGCAACATCCAAACATCTCCTGCCAATGCACTTTTACAGACTATGATATTTGGTAACAGTCAACTTCAACCTCATGACCCCACCGCTCCAGAGGGAGGGGTGAGGCCTGGGGGACATATACAAAATCACAAAAACATTACCAGTCAAGCACATTATAGCTAATATCCATTCACCTTTAAATCACATTGCATGTGTATTCAGGAAGAGTTTAAAAGTATTTGCAAATGGAAAGAAAAGGGTCAAAGGCTGAATTGAACATGAAACACATCATTAGCTAATAGGGTGGCCTTCCCTCGTTGATCATTTCTCTGCCTCCAGCCATATTGGGGTAATCAATCCAAGTGAACCCACAGTTTAAAAGCTCTGTGGAAATTCAAATTGTAACAGAAAATAAATTAGGGGCTCATTACTTCTGAGGGACTTTATTATGTGATATTTGTCAGATAGGCAACTCTCAAATGGTGCATTTTAAATGTGATTACACATCAGGGGAAACACATGCTTTATTGATGCTTTTTTCACTTTAAACCAATTTTAGGTACTATCTTCAGATTGTATCGATGGTGCATTCTCATGAATATTCCTTTGGTGACTAATTTAACCCTTGATGGATAGATTGGGGGATAAGCAAAACTCCAGTGGCACAGCTGCTCTGTGGATACTGGTTAAATAATCAGAAAAGCCATATCTTTTTATAATAAAAAGGTTAAGACACTGTCATATGTCTCCTAAGTGGAATGCCCTTGTATTTTGTATCCATTAGTTTGACTGTGTAACTGAGTCTACAGCTTCTTCCACATGACTTGTCAGCGTGTGTCAAGTGCATCAGGGTAATTTCTAGACTGAGAAAAAGAAGGTGACGATATCCGTGCAATGTGGACCTCAGCTCACCCCAGCTGGTTCTGCAGGGCAGCGTCAACAAAGGTCTACTGCGCTCTAAGAAATGCAGTGAGTGGCAAAGAGTCAGTCTCATAAACCAGATCTGGTCAACCCAATTCTGGATCATGAGAAAATTCTAAGAAGTTAGGATTTAATTACAGCGGTATCGTTATTGAAAAACAATGAGTCGGTTATCTGTGGGCATTGTGCATACTTTTGCTATCTAAAAGCTACCAGGAATTCCTAAAACAAACAAACAAACAAAAAAAAACTGTACTTTATTTATGAATAGTGACCCACCGGATCAAAGTGTAACTTCCCGGTCTCGGGTTTGCAAATGTTTCTGGCACTTGGATCCTGACACTGCCCCTGTCCTTGCCCAGCCCCACCATAATCACTGCATCCTGTTTGCTGCAGAGTTATAGTGATGAACCCCAACCTCAGCAGTTTCTGAAAGCTACTATTTGATTAAAAACAGAGCCGCCCAAACTCTCTGCAAGTGACTTCTCTGATGGGAACAATTTTTTCCAACCTGTATCAAGAGGGGAATTTTCTTTCAGGTGCCTAGGGAAGAGTGATAAAAGTGGTAAGTATATCAGTCAAGGTCACATGAGAAAGCTGTTTTGTGTTTTCGTCTTCTGAGCCCCTGAGTCATCCCACATTATTGCTGTATCTGCAACATGATTAGCAATGTAACCAAAAAGTGTCTTTAAAAAATACAATACATAGAACCCTCCACTCTAATGTTCCTCAGATCATAACAATACCAGTTCAGCTCCAATTCTTCCCCAAAGTGGAGCTGGTCTCTTCATATATTCACTTAGTTTCAAAAAGCAGGAAGCCCGCAAAGGTCGAGAAGCGCTGGTGGTCCCCGTGAAGAGCGCCATTGCCCATTCTCAGCCAAACCTCATCTCCTTTGGCCAGCTTCAGCACCGCGTGGTTGCTGGACGTATCCGATTTCCCTTTTGTTTCGTAGCTGGGAAGAAAAAAAAAGGCACCAGCTACTTAGTCTTTACAGGGGAGAGCCAGCTGTTTGCCAAAATCTGCCCTTTTCTCTCTCAGCTCTCAGGCATTAGGTATAGTCCTGTGCTTAAGTTCCTTAGATGACCTGTGCCCCTTGTATTAGAATTGGCCCATGCGCCCCTCACAAACACCGCTCCTCAATCGTATCTCATCATGATTGTGGGGAATGCTAATGACAATGACCAGAATGACTGTGGAAGTTGCATGTTGGAGCCTGAGTTCTGGAAGACTGTGTAGAGGAAAGCTCTCTGTCATCCATCACAACTGGAAAAAACACTCGGGACTGTTCCGTGAGAAGAAAAGGAATCTCTACTCTGTGCAAGCCTTTACGCTGGCCAGTGTTACAGCACTTTAGTCTACCCTAACTAATCCAGAATTTGGTACTAACTAGGGTGCTGCCATATCCCAAACTAGAGGACAGACACTCCTCAGTTTACGGTGGGATTATGTCGAGATAAATCCATGGTAAATTGAAATATCATAAGTCGAGAACGTATTTGCTACACCTAACCTACTAAATGTCATATCTTGGCCTGGCTGACTTTAAACATGTTCAGAACATTTGCAGCAGCCTACAGTTGGTCAAATCGTCTCACCCCATGAATGCTCTATCAAGTATCAGCTCTTTACCCTCGAGATTACGTGACTGGCTGGGAGCCGCGGCTCCTGATGCTGCCTGGCATCGTGAAATTCGAAGTAGGGTTTCTACTGAATGCATATTGCCTTTGCACATTCATAAAGCAGAAGAATTGTAAGTCGAACCCTCAGAGGGCAGGGACCATCTGCGGGTTGCACTGGCTCATAGTCAGGCAGAGAACAGTGAAGAAAACAAATACCATGGGCTTGAAACTAGAGAGCCATGTCATGCTGTGGCAAAACATTTCATAAAGCACGTGATAACTTGGAAGGTAGACCTAAATCCTACAAGGTTATCCTCTAGGTAAGGGAGCTATTGAAAAAGGTAAAACACTCTTTGCTTCTTTTAGAAAGATGTTGCTAGGATAGGTGAGCTCAGACAGGAACCGACACGTTGGAAGCAGAGGAAGCAGAATGTTGGGGCCTAATAGGGTTAGAAGAGCCAGGTGCTTTTGTACGAGGAAGAACAGAGCTACAGTGGACTTTGGCCTATTAAGACTTCTCATTCAGCCAGACAGACACAGCCTGTGATATAGTGTGGTGGGTGAGCCATAGCGCCTTTCGAGGACAGTGTCTTTAACAAGGAGTTGGGGAAACTGGACAGCCACATGCCAAAGAATGAAACTGGGCCACTCTTTTATGCCCTGTACAAAAATGAACTCAAAATGAATGACAGACTTGAATGTATGACCTGAAACCATAAAACTAGGAGAAAACATAGGTGGTGAGCTCCTTGACATCAGTCCTGGTGACCATTTTTGGAATTTGAAACTGAAAGCAAAGGCAAGAGAGCAAAAGTAAGTAAGTGGGACTACATCAAACTAAAACGTTTCTGCACAGCAAGGGAACCCGTAAACACATGAAGAGACATCCTACTGAATGGGAGAAGATATTTGCAAATCAGATATCTGATAAAGAGCTGGCATCCAAAATATATTTTTAAAAACTTATACAACTTAATAGCAAAAGAAAAGAAAATACAAAAAATCCAACTAATAATGGAAAGAGGATCCGAACATTCTTCTAAAGAGGACATACAGTGGGCCAACAGGTACATGAAAAGGCACTCAACTTCATTAATTATCAGGTAAGTAAAAATCAAGATCGCAATGAGGCATCACCTCATACTGTTACAGGGTGCAGCCAAGAGGGGGGACCCCAAATGGGCATTTGAAATGGGGTCCAGAACTTAAGGTGTCCAGGAGATTTTAAGATGTCTCCATCCCCCCCACCCAGGGTGTGGGTTGGGGGAAGGGACAAATGGAGCAAGGCCATTGAGATCTGTTTTGCATAGCAACAGCCTTGCAGCTACCCTCTGGTGTGGTCATTTAACATATCTATAGCCTTTGGCTGGTCGCTTAGATATGTTAAATAGCTGTGATCATCTCTGAGCCAGGGAGAATGGAAGTAACTTCCCCACCAAGACGTGACTGAGGGGCAGATCCCCCAAAGCTACAGCGCCTGCGTGGGAGCTCAGAGAAGATTGGCTCCAGGACATGAGGGCCACACCTGCCCAGACTCAAGATGGCAGCCCAGTAAAGCTGGAAGGATACGAGTTCTGGCATGTGAAGCCGAGTGTGGGAGGAGTCGGAAATGAGGCTGCAGAGGAAGATTGGCCCCAGGGATTTAAAACCCAGACTTGGCAGCCATTGAAAGAGAGAACCACACGGCTTTGACGGAGTGGAGACTCCTGCATCCCAGAGAGAACCGTGCTGCTTTAGGAGAGAGAACCACACGGCTTTGGCAGAGTGGGGACTCTCCCCTTCCCGCAGCCCTGAGAGGGAGAACTACGAGGCCTGGACAGAGTGGGGACCCCCGCAGCTTTAGAAGGGGAACCACCACCTGGTTTTAGCAGAGATCCTGGCAACTCAGCCGAGGGTGCCGGGAACCCAGGGAGGTCTCCCAGTCGAGAAGGAGGACTAAGAACCAGAGGACTGTCTGAGCCATGGACTTTGTTTTCCTTCCCTGAAATACGGTACTCTGGACTGGGCAAAGGGGGAAGGAAGGAAGGACTGTGTCTGTTTGTGGGTGTTTTGGGGGACTTTGGGGTTTTTGATGAAGACATTAGGTCACTACTTTAAGTCTGTATAGCATTAAATAAACATTTCCTTTCCTTTTCACGAATCTCTGGCATTGAGAGACGTCTTTCCTCTGGCAGCGGACATAACGGACCCGGGGCCTTCTTTCAATAATAGTATATCGTTCCAGGCCCCCCTTCTTCTGTTCTGTAACAATACCAGTTAGAATGGCTAGTATCAACAGACAAGAAATAACAAGCATTGGCAAAGATGAGAAGAAAAGGGAACCCTTGTGTATTGTTGGAAGGAATGTGAACTGGTGTGTTGGGAACCACCCTGACTGGGATCAAAAGCTGTAACCCCCGCCTAGGCTAAGGCTAAGGGAACGCCCTTGGAACCGTAAGCCAGCAAGGAGACAAAAGCTTATCTCCCTGGCAGGAGTGCTGCTTCTGCTGCTTTATTCATAACTGAACCCCAAAAAGCTTGGTCGGTTAACCAAAGACGGGTAAGATTCCCCAAGGGGGGAATGACCTAAGACAGGCACGATCACTTTGGGAGGCCCCCCAAAAGGACTTGGGGGGCTGCAGCAAAAGGGGGTGATGGACCCTCGCTCCTCGGCTTTGACATAGCCTGAGTTCTCAGCGTCTGGGAGAAAACCTCCTGGTCTCTTGGTTGCCTTAGTTCCCTTGCTCCACCTAAGCCTGAAACAATGACAGGGTGGTGCAGCTCTGTGCTGAAAAGGGTGGATTCCCCGGGTGATCAGGCCTAAGAAAGAATATGTAAATTACTGTGAAACCTTCTTTGTTTAGAATGCTCTCAGTTGAATGAAAGGGGTCCAAGGAGGAAGTTAGTTTGTTCCTCAAAGTCTTACAGCTCTTTGACACCGACTCAAAATAGACCGGCAGAGTTCCTTGTTTTCTATGGTTCCTTACTTCCCCCTAATGAGTATTGTACTTTACCTGAATTATTATGCAAAATGAGCCCAATAAAAGCAGGTATGGACTGTAAATCAGCGAGGTCCCCACTAGGGGGGGTGGCCATTTCGTCCCTACTTCCCCACAGAAACTGGTCTGTCTCTGTGCATGTTTTTTCTCGCGTGTTTTTCGGCGAGCCATTCGCAGCATTCCATGATCGCTGCTGGCTGGGGACCCACGCATCACTGGTGCAGCCAACATGGAAAGCAGTATAGAGGTTGCACAAAAAATTAAAAAAGAGCTACCATATGATCCAGCAATTCTGGTCTGGATATTTACCCAAAGAACATGAAAACATTGACTTCAAAAATGTATGTACCCCCATGTTCACTGCAGCATTACAAAATATGGAAATAACCTAAGTGACCTCAATGGATGAATGAATAAGGAAAATGTGGTGTATACGCAAGCAATGGACAAGCAATGGACTATTATCATTCAGCTATATAAAATGAAATCTTGCCATTTATGACAATACGGATCAATCGTGAGGGCATTATGCTAAGTGAAATAAGTCAGACAAAGAAAGACAAATACTACATGAGCTCGCTTACATGTGGAATCAAAAAGAAAAAAAATTTTATGCAAAGAACAGATGGGTGGTTGCCAGAGGTAGTAGTGGGGGTGGGAGGGGGGTGGGCAAAAATGGGGAAAAGGAATCAAAGGTACAAACCTCCATTTATAACATAAATAGGTCATGCAGATGCCGTGTAAGGCATGGTGACTATAGTTAATGATATTGCATTGCATGTTTGAAAGTTGCTATAATAGTAAATCTTAAAGGTTCTTATCACAAGAAAAATTATTTTATGATATATGGTTATGGATGTTAACTAGACTTATCGTGGTGATCATTTTATAATAGATACAAATATTGAATCATTATGTTGTGCTTCTGAAATAAATAGAAGGTCGTATGTCAATTATACCTTAATAAAAATAGTTTCAAAAACATTACCATGCTACCAAAGTATATTGTTTTTGAAAGTCTTCTGGGAGCCACCATGAAGTTGAGAGAAAAAGACATGAAGACCAGAAACAAAGGAAATAACAAGCTGAAAAGCTAGAGGTCAAGAAAATACCATGGGATGTGGTTTACTAACATATAACGGACTGGTAGCAAATAGATAAAAGATCTGCCTAGTTTCTGAGAAAATAGTGTTACCTCCCCTCTCTCCCTCAAAAAACAACAAACCTGATCTAAAAAGAGCTTGGGATGCTCAACTAGACCCTCTTAGCCTTCAATTTGCACCAGCGGAAAGTGGGCTGGGAAAGGCCCTGGGGAGAACTTTCTAACATTTTAGATGTAGCCACAGAGACGAAGAAACAAGGAAACCTGCCTAGAGGACAGAATCGGGGTCCCAAGAGGAAAACAGCCCAGAAACTGACTTGAAGGAAAGGGCTGCTCGTCCTGGGGCTCTGGGCTCTGAGCTGCATGCCTTCACTGCGGTGTGGGGGACGTCCCATGCAGACAGAGATAGGGAGACATGTGTTCGTTCATTGAATTTTTTAACTGAATTTCTTTCATCGCCATTTATCCCCCTGATACTCCCTTACCCCGCCATTACCACACTGTTGTCCATGTGTATGAGTCCTTTTTCCTTTCTGCTCAATCCCTCTACCTCCCTAACTCCTCCCCCATAGCCGTCATCCTGCTCTCTATCTATGAGCTGAGACATGGATTCTAAGTGCAGAAAGAAGGGTTCAACAGATACTCAGTAGCCAAGGGCAGGGCAGAGAAGGCCAGCTGTTCACCAGACTTTACGTCCCCTCTTCCACAGGAGCTCCTCTGCATGGCCTGGCTGTCTTTGGTTGGGTGAAGTTGAGCAGGGGACAATGCGACAAAGTTCTCCGAATAGAGCGCCTCATGCGTAAACATTTCCACAAGCTTGTTGCTCTTTCCTCCTTCTGATTGTGGCAAAGACAATGGCCAGTGAGAATTTGGGAGTCAATTTCACAGAAGGCAGAACTACTTTTGCCAGACTACATCTTCAAAAAGAAGGCGGACACCCACCCTCTCCTCCTTCACACAATCTCCTCCTTCTCCCTTTCTGCCTCATACCTCAAACCTGGAACTGGTCAAGCAAATTGCATTCTGGGGTGGAGGAGCCACTACATTCTGGATCTCTTTGTTGCAGCATCTTCATCTACCTGATTCATTTCTTTTTTCTTTGGCATTTCAAACACAACCCCCCACTGGAAGTCAGGCTCCAGCAGAAAATATGGCAACCCCCACAAGTCATCAAAAATAACATGGAAATGAGAATAGTCCCAGAGTCTTTCATAGATAACTCACCACCCAATTTACTTATGGGGAAGATGTTGGCTATCTGCCTCTCTCCCATATCGTAAGCTTACATCAGAACAAGTTGAACTATTTCTTTTCATTTTTTTCGAAGGAGCCTTGGTGCCAGTTTGCTGGGGTAAATATCAGAGCAGAAGCACAGCCAACAGAGAAGAAACTCCTCCCAGCTCTCAGCCCGCTGGCCCACAGGGATGGCAGAGAAGGCTGTCCGTGGGGCTGAACTCTAAGCTAAGGGCATCGGGAAGTAGAAAAGCAGGAGAAAAGGATGAGAGAGAAGGGAAGAGGTCATGAACTAAGAAAAGAACACAAATTATTAGTTGTGGGGAGTGTTGCTAATAATTAGCTCAAGGCCTCTTGGCCTGTTTACGCTCACGTTCATCAGGTTTATCTCTTCCCAGTGACATCATCTGGCCATGTAGTGGTGCCAGGAGCTCTCAGTGATGACAGGGTCCACAACAGGCTCTGGTGATTCCTGTTGAGTCCCCTGGCCTTGGCCTTCCTTTGAGTAAACACGGTGGCATGGATGTTACCTATTATAGAAAAGACCACCCACCTGTACATACTGAAGACTGTATTTCCATTGTGCATGAGGTACACATACACTTCCTCAACATCCTCGTGCTTCATCATGCTGAAGGTGAAGAAGTACACACCTAAAAAGAGGTGGACATTTATTCACATTTGTATTACTATACAGAGCACTGAAGACCACGAGGTGGCAGGGAGATAAGCTACATGACTTCGCACTTGTTGATAATCTACGTGGTGTGTAGGTTCCTCTCGGCCCTTAATTGTCTGGGTGACCCTTTGTCTGCTTTCACCTTGAAAATGCTTTAAATGTTTTGACACAATATTGATTTATAGACAGATAGGGAAATGTACTTGTGTGTGTACATGGGTTACTATAAAACCATACACAAACATCACAGTAGCAATGAGCACACTTACTACCCGGATCTTGGTTTCTAAACCCTAATCTCCAATAGCAGAAAAGGGCTCCCTGGAAAAGTGGGTGTTTCCAAAGCTGGGACGGGGAAAAGGCAAGATGAGCCTGAAGCAGCTCATGGTGCTAGAAAGTAAGGAAGCTGTGGGGGACTGAAGAACGACTGTCAAATATGCCTATGTCCTAAAGTCCCTGGCATCTGTAAATGTTACCTCATGTGGCAACAGGGACTTTGCAGGTATTATTATGTTCAGAATCTTGAGATGGGGAGGTTACCCTGCATTATTCAGGTGGCCCCAAGGGAATCCCACCATGCTGATAAGAGAGCCAAAATGATCAGAACCTGTGAGGGGAAGGTGGTGTGACAGTGGGAGCAGAGATGAAAGTGATTTGGCCAAGGGACAGGACACTGGCAGCCTCTACACACTGGAGTCATCCCTGATGTTTCTAGAAGAACCAGCACTGTCTAGACACTGAGTTTAGCCCAGCTGGACTGATTTGGGACTTCTGACCTCCAGAGTTACATAAGAATAATTTTACATTTTAAGCTCCTTAGTTTGTAATTTGTTACAATAATGATGGGAAATGAATACAGAAGGGCTTAAATTTTTTTTTTAATGTTTAAAGATTTTTAAAAGGATCAGACCCTCCTTGGGATGGTGGCAAGGAGAGAATAGTGTTATGACACATTTAACTGTGAGACTTATGGTATAAGAACTTTCAAAGTCAGGGATAACTATGCCCTCTTAGGGATTATTTGATTCAGTTCAAATCAGAGACAGTAATCTTAGTAACTATGGCCATCATTTTTAAAGTGTTTTTGTGTAGGAGACCATTCTGCGTGGCATGGGTCCAGCTCCCACTGGGAGATGCACAGAACCCATGCCCACGGATAGGTTCTCCCGTGGGGAATCAGGCCTACATTGTGCCTAGGCCACTTTGAGTCTTGTTCTTGCTAAAAAAAACTCCCTCACCCTGAATTGAGGACATTTACTGCAAAGTAACTTCCTAAAACCCATGCTAAACCTTCCAAGGATGAGTGTAACCGGTTCAACCACTTTTGCCTTTTCATTTGCAAATAATGTCTCTTCTGTGGTGTGATTAGCGGGATTGGCTCCTTTGTTTTCTGTAAAAGGTAACCACCTAAAGCAAACCCGTGACTAGTAAATGAGGACCATCAGGTAATATGTGGAGAAACCCAACAAAGGCCAGGCCAGTCACGGCAAAGGCCAAGGCTTTTGCTCCCCTTGAGAGAAAGCCATGCTGTCCCTTTTCCTCCACCAGACCTGGTAGTTCATGTGAATGTCTCATTTCATCCATAATGATGAGGACACTGTGGGCCAGTTTCTGCATCATTTTTGTCTTTTCAGATTCTAATTTATTTACTTTGAAATTCAATAGAAATCTGTAGATCATCTGCTTGTTTTAACCAGAATTAGAAACAATCCTCAATTTCCTTAATGTCTTCTTTGCCTTGTTCCCTCCCCCTTCATTCCTTCCTTCTTTTCCTCTTTCCTCTCTCCTTTCTTCCCTCCTTCCCTTTTTCCTTCCTTCCTCCCTTCCTCCCTCCCTCCCTCCCTCTTTCCCTCCCTCCCTCTCACTTTCTTCCTTCTTGATTGCTAGATTGATTGCTTTGGCCATTCACTTGTTTTACATCTCACCTGACACTGGGGCCCCGAATCTACCAGTCATGACATCAAAGAAGTTTCCGATGTTGGTCTCCACACTGCTGAAGATAATGCCGCTGTTCTGATTGGTGAAGTGTGTTGCCAGAGAAGCCATGAATGCAATCTAAGAAAAGAGTTGGGGGTCAATTAATAGGTCATTTATTTTAAAGACGTAAAGTTTTTGTGCACATGAGTTTATTCCAACACCATTTGTAACAGCAAGATGAGAAATCACTTAAACATGAATCTATGAAGAGTGAATTCAATGAATCATGGTACTTCCTAACATTTTTATGCTATGTAGCCCTTAAAACATCATGTATATTAACAGTTCTTCTGATCATGTGCTTCAAGGAATATAGACTTTAAAATACTTTTTTAAATGTGAAATTTCTATGATCAAGCCATGTTGGAAAAATTGGGGTGAAATCTTACACGTATACCCATTAAAAGCACATCAGTGTATCAAGAATCTTTGAAGCCCTCAGCCAGGGTACAACCACTCACAGGTTGGGGGTTAGAGTGTCAGCTTTGAGAGAGTTTATCATCCATGTTATCATCTACCTTTAAGCTGGCCAAGTGGCCTCTGTCCCCTTTGCTTTGTAAATTTATACCGACACACGGCTCCCAGGTTGCTAAAATTATTAAGCAACATTCATGAAAGTGTTACAAAACCACAAAAGCAGTTCGAGTGGCACACAGGACCTCTAGCTCACGAGGCCCAGAAAAATGACGGAATTCATCCACGGTCAGACCACCGCTGACTGTGCCCAAATGAGAGGCGAAGTTTCCCCCACTGACCTTTCAGACAAGACCTGCTTTATATTCCAGTTCTTGAAAAAGCTCTCACATTACAGCACATTCCCTCAGTTACTTTAGTTCAACCGTGACCCACTGTTTCGGGAAGACACACCAGCTGGAAGCAACTTTAACAAAGAATGCTAACTTTCAGTGTTCCTAGGTGTCCCCTGGGAGAATTGATTTAAAAAATATTAGCCAAAAACAGGTCAGATTTAGCAATTTTCTTGGTAACCTAACTTCATATTTTGGGTTTTAGATGTTATTGGCAGCAAAAAACAAAGTGTGGAGATCACTGAAAAGAGAAATAAAAAATAGACAAATAGGTGCTTGGGATACAATGTCCAATTCCAGCCTTGCATGTAAATTTTAAAAACCTTTAAGATGAAATAAATATGATCTGGTCTGGAAATCTGAGGGTGGATAACAAAATTAAATGTCTCTAGTGATGAAGATATTAGTGAGAAATATTTAAATAAAAATTTTGCCATAAAAATCTGAGTTGATAGTAACATTTGTACCTTAATATGTGATTTAAATATGTAAATGTAACAAAATCAATAAATAAGTGGAATGTTCAAATGTCTGCTTATAATAGTTTATGTAGCTAGAAATTTATATATTCAAGTTGCCAAAAACCTTTTTATTTAGCATATCTTCGAATTTGGGAAATGGGAAATGAGCTCATATTCAGGGTTGCCTTGTATTTGGTCTATTGAGGGAATCGCATTTCATCCTTGAAAAGTTGTTCTCCTCCCCGAGAGTGACTGCAAAGCGCTGGGAGCAGCACAGGCCTTGTGCAAACATCCCACGCTGGAGACACATGAACGAGCCTCAGACTCCCTCAGCGTTGGTGCGAGCTCGCGGAAGTACCCTAGCCTTCTGAATCTTGGACCCCGAGGGCGGGGACAACGTAGAAATCACCTGGAGACAAGCTGAGGGTGGTTTACCTGCAGTTCTGGTGGAATCCCCGGGTAGCCCTTTTCTCCTTTGGGGCCATGCTGCCCCCGCTCCCCTCGTGGGCCCAGGTCGCCTTTGTCTCCTTTCTCCCCTTTGGCCCCTTCGTGACCAGTGGCTCCGTTATTGCCGTTGTTTCCGTGGTTTCCTTAAACAACCAGACAGCACCGCGTGAGAAAGCCCATCACTCATACCACCCATTTTTATACAAACACAGCCCCGAAATGCACACACTCAGCTGTGAAAGGAACCATTGGAAACAGTTCCAGTACAGCCAGGGAGGCGCCATGAAGTGGGGTCTGTTTAAACGAGACACTGAAAACTGTTGCCTTAGAGACTCTCAAGCCTCCAAAGCCTGTGATTCTCATCAATCAAGACTTGGATGAAAAAAAAAACATTGTGCAGAAAACTGATCATCAAAGCATCACTTATAGCAGCAAAGACTAGAAACCACCTAAATGTCCACCAATACTGGAAGGGCTAAAGTTTAAAAGAATTATACAATCAGGAGATGATATTATATAGTCACCAAAAAGAATGCTAAACAAAAATATTTAATAACATTAATAATATTCATTATATTTTTAGGTAAAAGGCTATAAATCAATAAAGATAGCATAACACCATGTGTGGATGTTATGTACACACACAGTGTCATGCATGTATATGTGTGTGTTATATCCAAAGGGGGGAAAGACTAGAACAAATTACATGAAAATGTTTACAGTGTTGCTTTCTAAATGGATGAATCATGAGTGATCTTTGTACTCTTACACATACTTTCCTGTCTTTCTGAAGTTTTCAACAAAACATTTAAAATCTTTGATAAAAAATTATAATTTTTTAAAAGATTTTTATTTATTTATTTTTTTTAGAGAGAGAAGGGAAGGAGAAAGAAAGAGGGGGAGAAACATCAATGTGCAGTTGCTGGGGGTCATGACCTGCAACTCAGGCACGTGCCCTGACTGGGAATCGAACCTGCGACACTTTGGTTCACAGCCCGCGCTCAATCCACTGAGCTACACCAGCCAGGGCTAAAAAATTATAATTTTTTTATAACGTTGGAAACAAGATTTGGATAACAATCTCAGCCCTTCCCTTCTCTTTGCCACCACGGGTAATTTCTATACCTCTTTTTTTCTTATAATTGTTGAATTTCAGGCCCTTCTGTTGTTTACTCTGCCTGCCACCTCTGATCGGTTACCACACTAGGACGGCAACCTTCCAGCTGGATGGACTCTGACTTTGTTTACAGGTTAAGGAGCTCATGACAAAACTGCTCCTGGTGGACGGGAAGATGGCGGCTTTACTCTAGGCAGCGTTTTTCTCGGCTTCTGTGAAGAGGAGGGAAACTCGCAGATCGGTGGAGAAACAGAGCAAGTGGACTAGGTTACCGGATCACTTTTGAAAGCAGGACATCAAAAATTATTGTGATCACGGAAAAACCAGACGGTAAGGAGACATTTTCAGGACAAAGGGGCCCAGGGATCGGCGCGGGGACTAGGGGTGTGCAGTCCCCAGGCCCGGTGCTCGGGGCTCCCGGGAGAGGGGAGTCGCTGCTCCCTCCCCCGAATACGGGGGGTGAGCAACTCCAGGGGAGAACGTGTTGCTAGACGGAACAGATTGGCCAGTTGGACTGGGAAAAAATTGCCCAGGGACTATGAACACCCGCCCAGAGACTTAGGAGAAGTCAGGGCCTCTGGCCGACAGGACCAGGGGCAGCCTGGAAGAGCGCCTGCACCCCTAGCCGGCACCCCTAGCCCGGAGGAAGTGCAGATCGGTGGAGAGCACAGAGTCAGAACGCGCTCAGTTCGCGCCCCATAGGGAGGCCTGAATTGCGCGCCGGGATCCCAGGAGGGACGTGGTGCTGGGTGCGTTCCTACAGTAGTGGCTCAGAAATTTCCAGCCAGCCCGACCGGGGGAGTCGGGAAAAGCGCCAACACCCGGTTGGAGTGTGGTTCGACGGTGACCTCGGAGCTGGAAAGGGCTCGGCTTGCCCACCATCAGGAAGACTGTCTCGCACTCGCTGTGAACCCGGAACGGGGGCACGGCGAGGCGCTTAGGGCGATCCTAGACCCCGAATTTCAAAAGTTTGGGGGAAGGGCGCACCCTTTTAGGATTCCCAGGGAGGGTACAGTGAATCCCAAAAAGTCGTGGGTGCCTCCTGAGATCATAGAGCTGGAATCCTGCAGGACCCCGGAGTCTGGAAGAATGTGGAAGTGAGATCCAGAGAGCCAGTGTGCTCGGGAGCGCCCAGGGTACAGCAAGTCTGTATTCTGACAGACTTGCTGAGATTTGGGCTGGGAGAGAGAGAAGCATTTCAAAGGTCCCTCAGCCAGCTGAAGCCAGCAAGATCAGAAAAACTGGTCTGGCCAGTTAGAAACCAACAAGAGGTTTCTTTTTTTTTTTTCTTTTTTTTTTCTCTTTTTTTTTGTTTGGTTTGGTTTGCTTTGCTTTGGTTTGCTTTGGTTTGGTTTGGTCTTTGTGGCTGTTAGTTGATTGATTTTATCTTGTGTTTTATGTGACATTTTATTTTTCAATTCTTATTATTTTTATCTCGCAATCCCTTATGTTTCTCTTTCATTCATCCTAATATTATTCTTTCCACTCCAAATTTATCTCTCCTGCACTACATCTTCTGCTTTTCTTTCCTTTTTCTTTTTTTTTTAATCTTGCAAGTTACTGAAAATTTGTATTATCTTTTTCTCACTTTTCTGACATTTTTTATTTTAATATTATTTTGGTATTCTTTTTCTTTCTGTATAATCTTCTTTGCTTGGCTGGTTATACTATCATTTGATAGGTTCCCCCTGGTATCTCAGTTACAAGGTGTTGATAAGTTACTATCCTTCATCTGTGTTCCATTAATACACCTCTCAAGGTTCTATACTCTTTATTCTTGTTATCTAGACCTCATCGATTCTGCCACAAGATTGTCACTTTACTATTACTGTTAGTAAGACCTAGTCTATACAATTGTAAATACTTCTCAATACCCCTACCTGATCTCAGCCCACTTTGCAATTTTCTGAACTATACTATTGTGGGGGTTGTCTCTATTCTTTTACACACTACTCCTATATACTAATCTTTAATCCAACCCTACCTTAGAATCTGACCTCCTACAGCCTCACAGCTTTCTAGATTCCACTAACAATCCTCTCGTCCCCAATAAGAGTCTTACCTTCTTTCCACCATTTCTAAAACGTGGATAGTGGGGTGGAGGATCACGGTCAACACTATAAGGAGCCAAAGGATAACCCATCTCTTCTCTACTGGCTGCTAATGTAAATATCATAGTATACTGTCTTGCTGTCTTAAACCATTTTGCCTTATTCCTCCAACTGATCACAAAAAAAGAGTAGAGGGAAGCTGTGAACACCAGGATACACGAAGGAGATTGCACCACTGAATCTCACAAATATTCTACCACAGAAGTTCACACCATAATTACAGGGAATCAGAACAGATCAAATTAACAAACAAGAAGAAAAAAGAAGAAACACACGAACAATGAGAAAACAAAGAAACAACCCCCAACTGAAGGGAAACGAGGAAGCCTCAGGAAAAATGCTAAATGAAATAGAGGCAACTCAACTATCAGACAGTGAGTTCAAAACAATGATTACCAGGAAGTTCAATGAACTCACATTGAGTTTTCAGAAATTAGAGGGAAACTACATCAATCTCACTGCAAACTATATAAACATGAAAAAAGAAATAGAAACTCTCAACAAAGGTCAAGAGGAAATGAAGAATACAATTTCTGAACTGAAGAACACAGTAGAAGGAATGAAAAGCAGGATTGATGAAGCAGAAGATCGGATTAGCGAGCTGGAGGACAAAGTAGAAAACAACATCCAGAAAGAGCAAGAAAAGGAAAAGAGGCTCAGAAAGAATGAAGAGGGATTAAGAGAAATGCAAGACAATATGAAACGTAATAATATCCGTATAATAGGGATACCAGAAGGAGAAGAAGAAGAACAAGGGACCGAAAACCTAGTTGAACAAGTAATGAAGGAGAACTTGCCTAATTTGATGAGAGAAAAAGTCACACAAATCCAGGAAACACAGAGAGTCCCAATCAAGAGGAACCCAAAGAGACCCACCTCAAGACACATCATAATTAAAATGGCAAAATTTCAAGACAAAGAGAGAATCTTAAAGGCAGCAAGGGAGAAAAAGGAAGTAACATTCAAGGGAGCCCCAATAAGGCTAACAGCCAACTTCTCAATGGAAACACTTCAAGCCAGAAGAGAATGGCAAGAAATACTCCAGGTAATGAGAACCAGAGGTCTGCAACCAAGGCTGCTATATTCAGCAAGGCTCTCAATCAAGATAGAAGGCCAAATAAGAAGCTTCCCAGACAAAATAAGTCTAAAAGAATACGCCTCGACCAAACCAGCTCTGCAAGAGATCCTAAAGGGACTGCTTTAAGGAAGGGAAGGGAAAGAGAGAGAGAGAGAGAGAGAGAGAGAGAGAGAGAGAGAGAGGAACACATGTACATAAAAGAAAATGAATAAGTACCTATCAATAATAACCTTAAACGTAAATGGATTAAATGCTCCAATCAAAAGACACAGAATAGCTGAATGGATAAGAAAAAAATGACCCACATATCTGCTGTCTACAAGAGACCCACCTCAGGATAAAAGACCTACACAGGCTGAAAGTGAAGGGCTGGAAACAAATCTTCCAAGCAAATGGACAGGAAAAAAAAAGCCGGGGTAGCAATACTCATATCAGACAAAATAGACTTCCAAAAAAGGTCCATAAAGAGAGACCCAGAAGGTCACTTCATAATACTCAAGGGAAGAATCCATCAAGAAGACATAAATATTGTAAATATATATGCACCCAACATAGGAGCACCCAAAATACATAAAGAAAATCTTAGAGGACTTCAAGAAAGATATGGACAGCAACACAATTATAATGGGAGATTTTAACACCCCACTATCAAAAATGGACAGATCTTCTAAACAAAATATCAACAAAGATATTGTGGCATTGAACAATACCCTTGATGAAATGGACTTTCCTGATATATACAGAGCTCTCCATCCAAAAGAAGCTAAATATACATTCTTTTCAAATGTACACGGAACATTCTCAAAGATAGACCACATGATAGGACACAAAACAAGCCTCAAGAATTTCAAGAAAATTGAAATCATACCAAGCATTTTTTCAGACCACAAGGGACTGAAGCTAGAAACCAACCCTAAGGAAAAAAACCAAAAACACTCAAAATCATGGAGATTAAATAGCATGCTATTAAACAATGAATGGGTCAAGAATGACATTAGGGAAGAAATCAAAACGTTTCTGGAAACAAATGAAAACGAACTCACAACAACCCAAAACTTATGGGACACAGCCAAGGCACTCCTGAGAGGGAAGTTCATAGCGATACAGGCCCACCTAAAAAGGTTAGAAACATTCCAAACAAACAACCTAACCCTACGTCTACAAGAATTTGAGGAACAACAACAAAGGCAACCCAGAGCAAGCAGAGGGAAGGAAATGACCAAGATCAGAGCAGAATTAAATGACATAGAGACTAAAAGCACAATTCTAAGGATCAATGAATCCAAGAGCTGGTTCTTTGAAAAGATAAACAAAATTGACAAGCCCTTAAGCAAACTCATCAAGAAAAAAAGAGAGAAGACCCAAATAAACACAATTAGAAATGAAAGAGGAGAGGTTACAACAGATACCACAGAAAGACAAAGAATTGTAAGAAATTACTACAAAGAACTGTATGCCAAGAAATTTGAAAACCTAGGTGAAATGGACAAATTTCTAGAAAAATATAATCTTCCAAAACTCAATGAAAAAGAAGCAGAAAGCCTGAACAGACCAATAACAACAAAAGAAATTGAAGCAGTAATCAAAAAAACTCCCAACACACAAAAGCCCTGGACCAGATGGTTTCACAGGAGAATTCTACAAAGCATTTAAGGAAGAGCTAACCCCTATCCTTCACAGACTATTCTAAAAAATCCAAAAAGATGGGAGTCTCCCAAACTCTTTTTATGAGGCCAACATCATCCTAATTCCAAAACCAGATAAAGACACAACAAAGAAAGAAAACTTCAGGCCAATATCACTGATGAACATTGACGCTAAAATCCTCAACAAAATACTGGTAAACTGCATCCAACAATACATTAAAAAGATCATACACCATGACCAAGTGGGATTCATTCCAGGGACGCAAGGATGGTTCAATATTCGCAAGTCAGTAAATGTAATACATCACATAAACAAAAGCAAAGACAAAAACCACATGATTATATCAATTGATGCAGAAAAAGCATTTGACAAGGTACAGCACCCATTCATGATAAAAACACTCAGCAAAGTGGGAATAGAGGGAACATTCCTCAACATAATAAAGGCCATATATGAGAGACCTACAGCCAGCATCATACTCAATGGGCAAAAAATTAAAATCTTTTCCACTAAGATCAGGAACAAGGCAAGGCTGTCCACTTTCACCACTTCTGTTCAATATAGTACTGGAAGTTTTAGCCACAGCAATCAGACAAGAAAAAGAAATAAAAGGCATTCAAATCGGAAAGGAGGAAACAAAACTGTCACTGTTTGTAGATGACATGAGAGTATACATAGAAAATCCTATAGACTCTACCAAAAACTTGCTTGACCTAATAAATGAATTTGGCAAAACAGCGGGATACAAAGTCAATATCCAGAAATCAAAGGCATTTCTATACACCAACAATGAAACAGCAGAAGCAGAGATCAAGGAAAAAATTCCATTTGAAATAGCAAAAAGAAAAATAAAATATCTAGGAATAAACCTAACCAAAGAGGTAAAAGACCTGTATTCAGAAAACTATAACACTCAGGAAAGAAATCAAGGAAGACACAAACAAATGGAAACATATACCGTGTTCATGGATTGGAAGAATTAATATCATCAAAATGTCCATACTACCCAAAGCAATTTACACATTGAATGCAATTTCTATTAAAGTACCAATGGTATATTTCACAGACATAGAACAAACACTTCAAAAAATTTATATGGAATTATAAACGACCCCGAATAGCTGCTGCAATTTTGAGAAAGAAGAGTAAAGTAGGAGGGATCACAATACCCGACACTAAACTATACTACAAGGCCACTGTAATCAAAACAGCCTGGTACTGGCATAAAAACAGGCACATAGACCAATGGAACAGAACAGAGAGCCCAGAAATAAGCCCAAGTCTCTATGGTCAATTAATATTTGACAAAGGAGGCAGCAACATAAAATGGAGTAAAAATAGCCTCTTCAACAAATGGTGTTGGGAGAACTGGACAGCCACGTGCAAAAAAAATGAAACTTGAGCACCAACTTACACCATATACAAAAAATAAATTCAAGGTGGATAAAAGACTTAAATATAAAAGGTGACACCATTAAAGTCCTAGAGGAGAACGTAGGTAGGAAAATCTCAGATATTTCACGAAGAAACTTTTTTACTGACTTGTCCCCTAGAGCAAGGGACATAAAGCAAAGAATAAACAAATGGGACCTCATCAAAATTAAAAGCTTCTGCACAGCCAAAGAAAACAGTATCAAAATTAAAAGAGAACCAACTGTATGGGAAAACATATTTGCCAATGATACCTCAGACAAGGGTTTAATCTCCAAAATATATAAAGAACTTACAAGACTGTTCTCTGAGAAGACAAGGAATCCAATTAAAAAGTGGGCAAAGGACTTGAACAGACGCTTCTCCAAGGAGGACATACAGAAAATCCAAAGACACATGAAATGATGTTCAATATCGCTAGCTATCAGAGAGATGCAAATTAAAACCACAAGGAGATACCACTTCACACCAGACAGAATGGCCATCATAAACAAAGCAACAAACAACAAGTGTTGGAGAGGTTGTGGAGAAAAGGAGTCCCTAGTGCACCATTGGTGGAATTGCAGACTGGTACAACCACTATGGAAAACAGTATGGAACTTCCTCAGAAAACTAAAAATGGATCTGCCTTTTGACCCTGCAATTCCACTGCTGGGACTCTATCCTAAGAATACTAAAACACCAATCCAAAAGAACCTCTGCATCCCCAATGTTCATAGCAGCACAATTTACAATAGCTAGGTGCTGGAAGCAACCTAGGTGCCCATCAGTAAATGAATGGATCAAAAAACTATGGTACATTTACACAGTGGAATTCTATGCAGCAGAAAGAAAGAAGGAGCTCCTACCCTTTGCAACAGCGTGGATGGAGCTGGAAAACATTATGCTAAGCAAAACAAGCCAGGCAGTGAAAGACAAATACCATGTGATCTCACCTTTAACAGGAACCTAAATAACAAAACAAAGAAACAAACAAAATGTAACCAAAGACACTGAAATAGAGGACAGGCTGATGGTGACCGGAGGGGAGAGAAGAGGGAATTTCAGGGGACAGTGGGAAGGGTTCACAGGAACAAACTTAAAGGACACATGGTCATAAACTAAGGGGAGGGTGGTAATGGGAGGGAAGTGGGGAGGGGTGGGAGGGGGGAATGGATTGGGAGTAAAAAGGAGAAAACTGTATTTGAACAATGATTAAAAATAAATAAATAAATACATAAATAAATAAATAAACTGCTCCTGAAGGGGACATGTAGCCAAGGCCAGCCTGTCCCATCACGTGGGAAGAGCTTAGACCCGGGAAGACTTGAGAAGGGTCTAAACATCTCCTACCTCCGGCCACTGCGCCTGCTGCCAGCTGCCCCTGAGGGTCAGTGACGTTGCTTCCAAGCAAGTAGTCACAGCTGAAAGTCTAACGGGGTGTTTTCTCATTTTAAATTTGGTTACATTCAGGAGACCACTTAAAGGCATGTAAGAAATTGAACGGCATTTGATAAAGATTAGTATCGATGGGGCAAATCGAGAGAGAACAAGGGTGCAGTGTGGGGGAGGGTGGAAGGGGGGTAAATGGTAATGGAAAAAACATAATTAAAAAAAAAGAGGAAGAAAACAGCTTTACAAAACAGAACCAAACAAGAGGGCTTTCGTCAAGCCCCACAGGCCTGGGGTACCCCTGGTGGGGTGGGGACGGCAGAGCGGTGGGTCTGGAGGGCACAGTGGAGCTCCACGGCGTTCCCCGCGCCACCGCCCGCGCAGGGGCGAAAGTGCTCCCATAGCCCCAGAGCGGCGTGAAAACCACCGAGGGATGGCTGCACTCGACAGACCCTGGGGCCGGAGGGAGAGAAATGTAGCTGAACCAAGAATATGACAGAAGGACGGTAGCTCAGTGAACGGCACTGTGGAGACACCCGTCACCCGGACCACTAACCTCTCCGCTCCTTCACACCCTCACTTCCTAAATTCTCTGGAAGTTGTGTACAGTGTATCGCATGAGCCACACTGTGGCAGAAACACTGAGACAAGCGTACAACCCCATTAAGATCAGGGGGTTCCCCGCTCCATGATGCTGAAGAGCCTCCGGCCTGTGAATTGGGGCAGACTCCTCGGGCAGTGGGATCCTTCCAGTGGGATAGAGGATGAATGTGACAGAGGGTATGCTGTTCCACCTAGACTCTCTCTATAAACCCAGTCTACCCAATTCTGTCCTGGATTTTCCATGTGTACACTTTATTTTTTTTATATATATCCTATTTTTAGAGAGGGGAAGAAGGGTAGAAAGAGTGGAACATCACTGTGTGGTTACTTCTAGCATGCCCCCCTGCTGGGGACCTGGCCCACAATCCAGGCTTGTGCCCTGACTAGGAGTTGATCCGCAGGCCTGCGCTCAACCCACTGAGCTACACCAGCCAGGCATGCCGTACACTTTAGATCACACACACCCATTTCAGATTGTTTGGCTTCACCCCGGCTCCTATTTTGGCACAGTCTATTAGGCCGGCACTAGTGCCTCTCTCCCATCCTTACCTGGAATGCCAGGGGGGCCGGGAGGTCCAGGGGGCCCTTGGTAGCCCCGGAAGCTGTAATCTCCATGGCAACACTTGCTGCAGTCTGGGGGCAGCCCTCCGGTAGGTGGAGACTTTAAAAAGACACAGAGAGGAGCTTCAGGACACGGCAGTCAGGACTTTTGGATTTCACTGGCCTTGTTCCCTAGGTAACTTTAACTCCGAACAACCCACAACAACATCAGAAAACAGGGTGCGGGGTGGGGATGTTACTGACAAAGGAGTTGGGGGTAGCTAAGGGGAGCCAATGATCAAAAGGAAAAGGCAACAAGAGAGCCAACAGAACAAACTCTTTGGACCAGAGTGCGAGTGGGCCTGGGGGTTGGGGCAGCACTTCTGACAAGTACTTGTCTGCTGGTACTGAAGACAGCGAAACAGAAAACTCCAGAAACACCCCTTCTTCCCGAACTGCCAGGACCCTCTCTGGTGTAGCTAAGTTGATTTAGATGCTACTCAAATAAGAATTATCAACCTCAAACATTGCTCTTAAGATGAGACTCATGATACCGGTTGGGTTCAGAGTTCTTAGAAATTCTCAATTGTAGCTCTAGCTTTTTCAACAGCCACAGCATACTCAAACTGCCTTAGGGAATCGAGAAAGTGAAGTATTCCATAGTCCAATACATTTTTTTATGAATTATTTCTCTTTAAGTTTGGTTTTACTGAGAAACCAAAGTATTTTTTAAAAATTAAACTTCGGTGAATAAATATTAACATCAATGGTGATAAGTCAGAGAAGTTGTTTATCTTGAAACACCTTTAACCTCCTCTTCAAAACTATGTAACATGATGCGCTGTTTTATATTCCACTTTGAAATGTAACACGATTATCACATTGTTTGAACAAATATTGAATGAGTACACAGTGGGTACTGAATGCATTCAAGCATGGCGCTGAGCTACATGCTTACTTAGTTAAAGATAAATTTCTAAAATTTATGCTTTCACGCCAAGGAGCTACACAGAGTCAGAGCTGCTTATAAAATTTGGAATCTCCTCTAAATTGGCAACTTGCCTGTTAATTATATCATTCAAAATACTCGAGGAAAGGTTCCTAGACACCAACTGGAATCCAATGGATTCTTGAAGACAGCATGTTGTTGTTAAGGGGTTCGGTTTTAAGAGGAAAGGCGGGAGGAAAAGAGGAAAGAATAGAGAGAGAAAGAGAAGGAGAGTTGGAGGGAGAAAGAAAGAATGTAAAGTCCACATTTTCTCTGTCATTAGAAATTCAAGCAGAAAAGTGGATCAAAGCTTTGTGTTGCTGTCCATTTCAACTTCACTTTTTTAAAATAAAAAAATGGGCTTGCACTCTTCCCTCACTCTCTCATTCCTCTTTCCTGGAGGTCTCTGTCAGGCCATCGCAGGACAACGCAGGGCAGTGTCTGTGACCCTGCAACAGCTCGGGGCCCAGTCCGGAAGGATCAGGAACTACGACTTGGAGCTGACTCTTCCTCTAGTCTTCAGTCTACGAGACCCAACTATGGGCAGGTATGAGCATCTATGGAAACCTTTTGTAACACTGGTGGAGGAAAAGAAACTCGGCAAAAGTCATTGGCCTGAGACGAGAGCTTTCAGACGCTTGGAAAGTCAGACGCCACAACACTGCCCTGCCTTCTAATCCAAAGATGCAATCTGAGAAGTATTCCATGATTTCCTGGTTTGGGCTTGCAACTGTGAAAATACAGCTCTTTAAGCCCCAAGAAATGCAGTGCCAACAGTGGATTTTAGAGAAGGAGGACGTGGAAGGAGGTGATGTCCCGAAGCGGAACCATTTGCTTGAGAATGGAATACTGAGACTTTAAGAATGTCCGAAAGATGACTGGACCGGGACCTGAGCCCCCCTCTCAGGTCCATGTGCCTCTAGGGAGTTTCTTCCAGCTCTAAGATGCAAACGAAGACACACAAGCCTTTCCCAAAGCCTCGAAGAATGACTTAGAAAGATTTTGTGTTTGGAGTCTAGTATCTAGGCTTGAGAACTTTAGCCCAGGCAATGGGGCTGCCCAGTGCCAGCGCTGACTAGGACTGGGGTGCATGCCAGAGCTACTTGGGGTACTGGGAGAGCACAGAGCTGCCACCCAAGTGGAGAGGGACTTCTGGTCACTACTAGTCGGCCCCTCCTGCAACATGTCACGTGTTCCTCCCTCTGGCCTGGCTCCAGAGTGCAGTCAAATGCAGCACTGTTACTCTGTGGATGCCCTCAGAATAAGACAGGCAGCATGTGTTAATTCAGACATTTTCTCCTAGGTGAGGGAGAATTAGGAAGTCACTGTGTATCACCCTCTTAAGTTTACCAACACTTTTCCCAAACTCAGGTCACGTTTGAACACCAGGAACATGCGAGTGGGCACTATGGGAGGAGGAAGCGGTCTCTAAGGCCAGTTCTGTCTGTTTTGTAGATGGAGGCCCAGGAGCAGCTACTCAGAATTTGGGTCTGCCATGAGTAAGTAACTTCTAGCATAGGGAGTCCATAGCTCCTTGTGTAACCTAAGGAAGAGGGAAGAGAAAGGAGTGGGGGCAGGGGGTGGGAAGAGAGAGACAGGTGTCCAGGATGGGAAGGGGAGACCGATCGAGGTGAATGGTGCAGAGCTACAGAGGAGACAATGCCAGGAAAAGGGGGTCTAGGTCTGCCCACCCCTCCCTCCCTGCACACTCTAATCCAGGGGTGTTGGGCCCTTTGGCGTCTCCGGGCCACACTAGAAGAAGAAGAGTTGTCTTGAGCCACCCATTAAATACACAAACACTAATGAAAACTGCTAAGCAAAATAAACAGGTCTGTGCATAATTTACGATTTTGTGTCGGGCCGCATTCATAGCCATCCTGGGGTGCATGCAGCCCGTGGGCTGTGAGTTGAACACCCCTGCTCCATAATGGACCCTATGGGCAGACTCATCTTTCTAGAACACAAATCTGATCACCTCACTGCCCTGCTATGAACAAACAAACAAACAAACAAACAAACATTTTGCTGGCAAAGTAAGATCTCAGCTCCTTAACTGGCCAGCAGCATCCCCCAGCCTGGCTCTGCAACCATCCCGTGTCTCTGTTCCATGGCCCAGGAGCTCCAGCCTCACTCCTCCTCACGAGCTCTCTCAAGGCTGTTCGCTGTTGTACTTTTTTTTTTTTTAATTTCTACCAGGATGATCCATCCTTTTGCCTCATCTTTGAGACCCAGCTCAGTGCCCACCACCACGCCGACACTTTTTCCCCAACTGCCCTTTGCACCCAGACTTGGTCACGTGCGTTTCATTCTCTGTTCATCTATCCCCATTGGAATCCTTCGGAACTGATCCGAGAGCAGAGCTGGGGCATATTGATGCCCGTCCGAAAGTGTGGTAAACAGTAGAGGCACAGGAAATGGTTGGAGAGAGAATGAATGAGGAAAAAGGAAGATTAAAATAAAAGAAGAGGGTGGGGACATGGGGAGAAGAGGAAGAACACAGCACAAATCCAAATCCACTGAGGGTCTACATATCCATCCACAGGAAAGTTGTTTAGAAAATGTCTGGAATATCGATGACTGAATTTCCTCAGTATCCTGTTGGGGTTCGTAGGAAACTGGGGGAGTTTGAAAGCCCCTCTTCAAAAACAGCCAGAAAGTGGCTTCTTGGCCCCCTTATCTGATTTCAGCGTGTCAGATGCCTAGGGGGACTAGAAGCGGGGGGGGAGTAGAGATTAATTTGGATTTCAGTGGCCTGCTGGGTGTCAGTTGCCAAGAACTAATGATCAATGACGGTCTACATCTGTTTTCTGCTGTTTCTAGCGGCTCACCCTGCCACGGCCAGGAAGCATCCAGCACACACAGATCCTGGCTATGCAAAGTCCAGACGAGGGCCTGGACAAAAGTGATGCATCTTCCCCGCTATGGAAAACACAGTGAGCATCCATCACCCTTTAGCCAAAGGATTATCAGAGGAAAGGACCAGCTCTAAAAGCAGCTCTCAAAAAAAGAGATGGTATGTAAAAGTTATCATTTCTTCAGCCGCTCCTTAAAGAAGCATTTTGTTTTTCTTGACATAGCCCCACAGAACTGTATGGTTAGAAGTCCCAGGTTAGTTCCCGGGCTACAAATAATTCCGTGTGTGATTTTGGCCTGATCGTGTAACCAGCCTGTAGCCCAACTTCTCCGTCTGTGGTAGAAGGGGTCTAGATTTCAACTGTACGTGCTTTGGGGGGCCTATTTAAATGCATCCCAGCAGTTAATTCTTGGAGGAAAAGCTCCTTGTTCAAATATCATAGAATTCAAAGTAGCTCTCCTTGCCCCTCCTCCGATTTCAGCACGCTTGACACCTAGAAGGCCAATCAAAATCTGTTTCTTCCTTAAGCTGTTCACCTGAAAGCAATATAATGTATGTCAATGATGCCTCAATTAAAAACTTTAAATAATTTATTAAAAGACAGTTAGAAGCCCTGTTCTTAATGTTTAAAATAAACTGAGTTTCACCAATTTGCCTCTCACGACACTGAAACTTGCACTCACTGTCGTAGTACCCTAAAAGAGTTAAAGGTGTTCCCTTATTGCTGAGCTTCTAGTCTGAGAAATGAATCACGCCGTCTGTGGTTATCAGGCATTAAGTCATACAATGTGGTTTACATTTTAAATACACACAGTCTTTGTTTTAACTCTTTGCACCTTTTTAAAACAGGCTGGACACAGACACTTAGCCACCTAGAATGCTGACAATCAGATCGACAAGCCTGGTAAAATCTCACAGTCAACTCTCGAATCCAAATGAAAAACTGGAAGGGCCGCTTCTCCCTGCCGGGAAGGATTAAAAAAGTCCAGCTCTCCCGGGATCTGCAAACGACTGCCCACAGCCATGGGCTATTTGTAGGTCAGCACTCCTCCTGTCCAGACAAGGGAAGCAAGGGAAGCAGGACGTCGCAGCCTAGCAGGGAGCTCGCGGCCCCTACTGTCTTTTTTGAGGGGGCGACACCGCAGCCTCTCTCTATCCCAGCCCGTCCACGCTCCCTCTGCTGATTTTCTCACAGAGACCCACAGCCCCCCTCACCCCACAGAGCAACCCAAACAGAGACCCACAAGCAGCTCAGCAAGGTCCTCAGAAGCATTCACCCCCAGAATCACAGCTGACACAGAGAGCGAGAACAGGCAAACTCACAACGCTTTCCCAGCAAATCCTTAGAAGAGAATTCTGAGTACCTGGGCCCAGAATGGGGTGATCTGGGCTAGGTCATCTACCTCGGGGTGCGGTAGCTCATCTGGTCTCAGGGGTTTTAGGTCTGTAGACGTGTTATTATCCACAGTCCCAGTTTTAGCATGGCTCCGCTCTCTCACTGTCTCCCTCCGGGAGCCACCACGGACGGTCTGCTGGTGGCTTTGCACTATTCTCGCCACCACTTTATTAGCTCTTCCGCTCACCTCCATGTACTCATCTTGACACAGGCAAAATGGGAGGAAAAACAAAGCCAGCAGGTGCCAATAGATCAGCCGCCCCGGCATGATTCTCGACAGAGCCACGGAGCCTGCTGAAGAAGACAGCCGGGGCTCCGGGCGCCGTGGTCTCCTCGGGCCAGTGCCAGGGCTGGAGCCGAGCGCTGCAGCCGGCCGGGTGGTTTTATACTTCAGTGTGCAATAAATAAGGCTCCAGGCCTGCCAGAGGGAATGCAGAACAGCCCATTCATCACCTCCCCACATCACAGGCCAAACGGGGCTTGTGTTGCACGGCTCCCGGTGGCTGGGGTTCATAAACGTCACACCTTGGCACGTTTTTTGCTAAAGTGCAGAGAGAAGATATGCAAGCAGCTGGAAACAGGGAGCGTGTGTCTGGGGCTTGCTTTCCTGATGAGACACGGAAAGGCTGCGCCTCTGCAGACTGAGATCCTTTTGGAATAGCCTCCCCTCGGGCTTGCCAGGAAATCCGGGCTCAGCTGCATCAATCTGTCTGAAATGACAGTGGGGGCACATTCAGGGAAACGGAGAGGGCTCCTGCGCTGTCTCTCAAAAGCTAATATCTCCCCTGTGGTCGGCTTAAAGTAGCTCATTCCCCCTTCCGGACACCAGCCGCAGAGGCCGTTGGGTACCCAGAGCACTGGGCTGGATTCGGAGGCAGAGTCTCTGGGTCCAGCAAACGCATTTCCCTGTCCTAGCAAATGTGTTTCCCCTGAGTCTGCAAACATCTGGCCAACGCATTTTTCCCTGAGTTTCCAAAAGCCAAAGTTAAGTCAGAGTTAACCAAGTTGCTTCTTGTCAGAGGAAGATAGAACAGCCCCCTTTGGGTCCAAAGATCGTCTCTGGCTACTCTTCCTTCTGACATATTCTTGATGGAAACTGAACAAATGGAGAGTACCAAACCACACACGCTTCTCCACGTACATCAGGAGGGAGAGGGTTCCCATGTCCTTTATTCCGCTGGCTACCCTTTTATGAGTTCGGCTGAAGAGCGAATGGACGTTCCCAATCTCTTTGTGATAACAAATCAAGAGAAGTCATATAGGCTTGTCATTAAAAATGGCTTCCGTTTACATATTTCATTTTATATTACTCATTCACTCACTCCCTAAGAAGGCCCTGGTCCTGCCCCAGGAGGACTGACAAGACCCTGGGACTTACAGGGCGTGGATGAGTGGCAAGCGCCTGGGGCCGAGTGGACAAGGGGGCACTGTCAGACAGCCCAGGTTCAGAGAAGCCAGGCTTGAGGGTGAGGCGGCAGAGCAGCTGGAGAGAGGGAGGGCGCGCCAGGGCCCCGTGCAGCTGCCCTCCTCACTCAGCAGAGGGGCCTGAGAACCAACTCCATCTCCTCCCCCAAGAGCCAGACAGCTGCCTCCAGGGCCCACACTTACGCACCGAAAGAGTCTGGTGCTGGCGGAGGAATGAGAGAGGGAGAGCTATTCTGTACAGGAGAAGCTCCCCAGTGTGCAGACGTAGGGGCCTTGGGAGTCACGCTGATTCGAAGCGGGCAAATTCCCGTTGGGCGGGAGGTAGGACACTCTGCCAGCCCCATTCCATAAGGCTGCCCTCAGTTCTGCAAAATCTCCTCCCTGCGCTCTGTGCCCAGCGCTCTCAGCAAGTGGGGAGGGAGCACCCCAAGCTTCCTGGCAGTAACTCTTAGTGGAGACGGGAAGGATAGCACCTGGGGCCTGTGAGCAAAGAGGTGGATGGAGCAATGTCTCCGTGGGTTGGGGGGGTGCTCCCTCACCAGGGGAGCCTGGAACCAAATTTTGAGGGAGACCACAAAGCAAGGAATGGCTCTGAAATCTAGGTTACCCAATTCACAAGTTTTCTAAGAGCTGCCTCTGGCAGCTCCCGCGGCCTGGGCCATCTGGCTGAGTGGCTACAAGTCAACCTCTCCTGACTTTCAACCGCACTGAGACTTCCCACTGGTGTTTTCAACTCGCCCGTGTATTCTAGCAGTTCCCAATCTTGGCTGCATGGTCAGATCAGCCCGGGAACTTCTAACTATATCACCGTCTGGATTCCATCCTAGGCCAGTTGAGTCAGAATCTCTAGTGGGGCCTGGGCACCAACAGCTTTTAAAAACTTCACCGGCAAGATTCTAATGTGCAGCCAGGGTTGGAAGTCACTTACCCATCCTCTCTTACCCTGACTTAACAAGAATAAATACTAATAACATCTATAATTTTTGAGCACTTACCCTGTGCCAGCCAAGTACTTCTCTTCTTCAGCTCACTGACTGGTCTCAGTAAACCTATCATCCCCATTGTACAGACGAGGAAACAGAGGCTCAGAGAGGGGAAGTGACTTGTCTGGCGTAACCCAGCTGTGAAAGGGTCGTCAGGATTCACCTCCATCGCCCTGCCTTCCTCCAGAGAAGCAGAGAAAGACCAACGGCAGGCTGACCGCAGACAGAAGGCCAGCTCATAGCTCATGAGGCCTGCCCACTGGAACCTGGGGTCAGAGAGTCACAAGTTGAAATGTGTCACCCAAAAAGATGTTGACGTCCTAGCCCGCAGCACCCGTGGGAATGGCCTTATTTGGAAAGAGAGCCTTTGTAGATGGCCATGTTAAGATGAGGTCATTAGGGTGGGCCCTACCCAGATATGACTGTGTTTTCCTAACGAGGAAAACTCTGGACCCAGAGACAGACGCGCACATAGGGAGATCGCCCTGTGAAGATGGAAGGAGGGGTCAGGGTCAGGCAGCTACTGGCCAGGAAACACCAAAGGTCGCCAACTGACAAGCATAGCGGAGCGGAAGGGCATGGAGCGGCTCCCCCACAGAGCCCTCAGAGGGACCCAGCTCTGCGGACACTTTGATCTCAGACATCTGGCCTGCAGAACTCTGAGACAATCAGTTCCTTTATTTAAGCCACCTGATTTGTTCCGCTTCGTTAAAGCCGCCCCAGCAAACCAGTACAGAGAGCGTGTAGGGAAGCCTGAACAAGCTCCAGCCCAGAAGATGGCTGTCTCAGAAGATTGAGCCAACTGTGCAAGTCCGTGAATGGAAAGTAGCAAACCTGACCCGGAGAAGACTCGCCAGCCTCTCAGCACAGGTCCTTTTCTCTTCATCCAGCACCTTCCCACTAAATGCATTCCACACCTTGGTTTAATGTTAAATCTTACTAGAGGTTTCCATTTCATACATCCTCTGGCAATGCCCCTTGTTCAAAGAAGCGAATTAGCTGCGCGGCCCAAGCTCTTGCCTCTGGGCTGAGTATTGAAAACATCTGGAATCGGGAGACCCACTGTCTCCGTCTGTGAAAGCCACGAAAGATGCCTGGGGGACACCTGTCTGCAGAGACGCATGGGGGCTGCCACAGGCTCTGGCTCGTTCCGCCGGCCCCACGAGTCCATTCGGGACGCTGGCAGCGCCCGCACCGCGTGCGGCGGAGGTGCACATGAATCCGCGCACAGAGGCAGCTCTGTGCGTGAGCTCTGCCAACCGACCGTAGGCAAACGCGTGCTTAGCTTTACAAAGACAGCTGTTATGACATGCGTAGGTGCCCTGTGCGCCCCCCATCCCCCCACCAGGGAGCTCTGCTGCGGCTTTGACAGAAAGGAGATCGGCCGTGGTCTGGCAAGGGACAGTGAAGAACTGTGTGGGACTGAACACGCCTTTATGTCAGCGCCAGCTTACAGGGCAGCTGGGGAAGGCGGCCGTTTGCAGGGTTTCCAGCAGTGGGGTGTGGCCGCCTCGCTCTGCCCCTTCCCGCTGGGGGGTCCTCGGTGAGATTCTGACGTCGAGGCTTGAGCCCTTCGACCTGAACAAATTCAAGGCGTATGGAAACACCCATAAAATTAAGCTGCTGCCTGAGATGAACTCGGTTAACTGTGTTGGCCATTGATGTTGAAGGCGTTTTCAGGGAAGTTGCATTTGGAGAAGAATTAAAAGAAAAAAAAATTTTTTTTTTCCAGAAAAGAGACATCGTCTTTCAACATCCACTACGGCCATTTAAAGAAAAATATCTTCACGCGTGGCACCAGGGTCAGGCGAAATCAAACAAAGTGCACAGGGTGAGCGGGCCGGTTGGCCGGGCGCCCTCACCTCGGTGGAATCGCACGGTTCAGGGTCTGACCCTCGCCAGGCCCGTGCGGGAGACCCGCCGCCCATGTCTCGGGAGTGGCTCCGTCTCTACCGCCAGAAGGAGGCTGAGCCTGAGTAAGTAATGACAGCATTCAGAGGAAAAATGTGACTCTCAAGTGGACCTGACAAATGTCACGTGTTTACTGAACGACAAATTCTCCCTGTAGGACTTCCACGTGAGAAGACGATTCTAACCAGAGCGACGTGTGATGAACAGGAACCTGTGTGGGCATGCGTGTCTGTGGTGGAAGTTGCCGGCTGACAGAGCGTGACTGGCTGGTGCCATCCAGTACTGGCGTGGGTAGTCAGGGTCCAAACAGGAAAACAGAAGCCACTTCAGGTATTTCAACAGAGAGACTTTTTTTTTAAAGATTTTATTTATTTATTTTTAGAGAGGGAAGGGAGGGAGGGAGATAGAGAGAGAGAGAAACATCAATGTGCGGTTTCTGGGGGCTGGGGCCTGCAACCCAGGCATGTGCCCTGACTGGGAATTGAACCTGAGACACTTTGGTTCGCAGCCCGCGCTCAATCCACTGAGCTATGCCAGCCAGGGCTTCAACAAAGAGACTTTGATAGAAGGAGTGAGTTGAACACAAGGATGGCAACTGCAGGAAGCAAGCTGGGGGTTGAAAGGGAAGAGACTGGTGTTGTGGGAATTCAGAAGCTGGAAGACGGGGTCCTGTGGAAGAGCTGGCACTCAGATGACGGGGAACGGGTCATGGCCCCACTGAAGCTGGCACCTCTGTCAGAGTGTCATGAGGCTGACTCTGGGGACATAGCTACTGGCCTGGAACCAACTACAGCTACCAGAGGAAGGGCCATTGCTCAGATGACATAAAAACAGCAAGGGAAAGTAACAAACAAGTGTTTCCTGGGACCCTGTACCTTCCAGAACCCCCTAGTGGTTGACAAAGGAGAAAAGTAAGCTGCAGAGTCTGGCCCCAGCACCACAAGGCGGAGCTTTGAAGGCTGCGGCGGGAGCTGCGCCATCCTGAGCTCTCGGTTCCTCCCTGCCACGGGGCACAGGTACTCAGGTTCCAGGGACAGCCCTTGAGATGCATCATCCAGGTGGGTCTGTCTGAATTCTCCTTTTATAAATTGTATGCAGTTCGTCTCCACTTCTCCCAATAACTTTCTTCAGACAGAGACAGAGCCACCCAAAACCTTCCCTGTTTGCCCCTGGAGATGGCACCCGGGACATCTGCATTATTAGATTTAGCATCTTCATGAATGATCTTCTGAGTCAGTCCCTTCCAGGTGACTTGCCCGCCACACACTGGACACCAACACAACGACCTCCCCCAGGACCAGTCTGCCCAGCCCCACATTCCTCACTCAGAAACCGAGGTTCGCCTCCACTGATGGAGACCCATCGAGCTTGACCCTGACCCTGGAGAAGCCCGAGGCAGGGGCAGCACTGACACTCGGGAACCCCGTCCCCACGTGGGCCCCCGGGTCATCTGACAAGGCAAGCTGCGTCCGCATCATGAAGGGGAGACCAGGGTTGTTTCCTCCGAAACCTTGCTGAGCTGTGAAGCAAGATCCTAAAATTCAAGCTAATCCCCAAAATGGAAGATGGTTGTTGGTCAGAGCTGCGTTAGTAGTCAGGGATCTCCAGAGAAGCAGAACCAGCAGGGTGTACACGGAGAGAGAGGTTTACTTCAGGGAATTTCCTCAC